CTGGCCGGGGTCACACCGCGGGCTGAGGGGCGAGCGGGCGGGACCGTCCCCTCAGGCCGCTCCCTCGGGACGCTCCCCTCAGGCCGCTCCCTTGCTCTGCCCGCTGCCTCCCTCCCCTCAGCGTGGCCAGAAGCGCCGCTTTCCGTAAATAAGTGCCTGTGCTGGATCAGCGGAGACTTCGGACGTGAAGGATTTGTGGTAAAAGTGAACACGGGCAGTTGTGGCGGTGTCCGCCCTCACAGCTTCCTTCTCCAGCTGAGCTGGTGCCTTCACGCTTCTCGATGTGCTGTTCCCTCTCCGCAGCTTTGCTCACTTCACTGTGAGGACATCGCTTCAGAGCCGCTGCTGTGCAAACTTTAGGATTAACTGAATTAAATACGCTCACTTTCCCAACTACTTAAGCCTTGGGCTTCTCCATGTCCCTCTCCCCTCGGGCTCTGATCCCTGTGGCCCGTTCATATTGCATTGATGCCATTGACACAATTGAATTAACTGCATTCCGTGTTCATACCTCGTATCTACGTTCTCGTATTAAAAGCAGAGGCCGTGGTGCTCCCAGCATCTCTGGAGCCATGTGCAGGTCCCCAAAAAATCTCTTTTGCCCAAATGTTTCCGCAGTCACAGTGTTGTGTGCGATGCGTAACCACAATTGGGCTCTGCTGTCTCCACTGTGCCTCACACGGAACTCTTTGAATATCTGAACATCTGAATAATTACCTACAACTGCTTCTCTGAAGTTAATAAGATGCCTCATTAACTTTGGAGGGCTGTGGAGATGATGGTTTGGTCGCTTTTGTCACATTTTAGGACAAATGTGACGCCACCTTGTCTCTATTTCCTCTTTCAGCTGCACGGAACATGTGTATTGTACAGCTTTAGATCCCCAAAGGAATTATCTTTCTGCTTTCCAGACAGGATTGCATGAGCTGCTGTATAAAATACACCATCTCTCAAGAAAACAAAGGGTTTTGTGTGAAAAATGAGAACTGGAAGTGATAAAAAATTCTCTTTCAAGTGACAGTTCAGATTATGCCAGTGCTGTTGATTGTTGAACCACGCTGTTCAAGGCAGGGATGGGAATTCCACTTTTGGAATAAATAACTTTTGAAATATGCTTCTAACTCTCACTTCCCTCATCTTGGATTTGTGGCAAAACTTCTTGGCTCAAATTTTATGTAGTAAATCACACATTGCCCTTTTTTTACTGCCCTGAAAATCCCAAACCCATTTTTTTCCTACGTGTTTATAAGGAAAAAAGATACCTGTGTAGAGGGAACTGCATGGATCTGAGCATCTTCAGAGCAAAGTCTTCCAGAAACTTCCTCTGGGTATTTTAGCTGCTCAGCACTTTGAATTATTTGTTGCATGCCAGGAGCCACCATCGTGTTGCTCCATTATTGCTCCATATTTCATGTTATTAGGAAATTAGGTTAAACAGTTGTACTGCTCATGAATCTTTTTTGGCTGCTTCACTTTTCATATGAGCCCAAGTTAAGAAATCAATAAATCTATCAGGGAAGGGGGTTTTATTTTTGGTGCTGTCTCCCCATAACGTGTCCAGAGGTGAGCAGACATGACAAATAATTGTAAAATTATTGAAATTATTGGTCTGGAAATTTGGATGTTTAGGGTTTCTGAGTGGAAAGGCAGGACAGACACTTTCCTAAAGACCATGACAGATGGCATGCAGATAATAAAATCCCTTTAAGAAGAGCAGCTCCTGTTGCAGTTCTTTCTTTTAGGCCTCTAAAACAATCCATAAATGATGTCTGCATCCCCTGGGAATCATTTGTAGTGTCATGGGCTCTTAATTCCTATTTATCCAGGGTGTGGAAGAAAGGAAAGATTTCAATTAGAACAATGAAATGAAATGAAATGAAATGAAATGAAATGAAATGAAATGAAATGAAATGAGTGATTTTGAGCCCCTTAGTTTGGATCTTAAGGAAATCAGTAGAAATTCCAGGTGATGGAAGTGAGCCCTGGAGCAGGTTGTTACCTTTAAATTTGAATTTGAAATGAGCTGTTGCCACCTCTGCCTGCAGTCTCAGTTTGCTGCTGGCACCATCCAGGGAGCAACTGGAAGCCCTTCACTTGGAAGTGTGCACAGGTACACTCTAAAAAATAATGTCTTGGCCCAGCTCAAGGTCCATGTGGTGCAGGGATCTTATTTTTAGGGAAAGAGCATTGGCAGGTTGTATAGAAGAGGAATATTACAAGCAAAGCACAGCAATGACCGTGGGACACATCAAAGTCTTTCTCAGAGGCTGCAGCTGGACTCAACTTTCTTAATGCTGTCAGCAAAACAAACAGGAGCAATTTGGGCTGAGGATAAGAGAGGAAAATAATTTCCCAGGCAGCTGTACTGGTCCCTGCACCAGGTGCAGAGCTTCTATTTTCATGTTATTTTTGCAGTAAATATGGGACTGATAGGCCTGAATGGGGTCCAGTCCTTTTGCATCCCCAAGGGAACTTGTCCTTTCGCAGGTTGAAATATTTATTGTCAGCTAATTTTGTGCAAAACGTTTGAGAATTGGTGAACTGCTCATCTGTGTCCAGTTCCTTTGTCTTCTTTGGTCACAGCAGTGTGTTGGGGGCAATAGACAAGCTGGACCTGGTTAGACTTGACTTAATTCCAGCAGTAAATGTGGCAGTAAAAACAAAAGCGATTTTTCTCCTCACTTCCTGGTTTCCAACTGTTTGCTGTTGGGTTTTTTTTTTTCTGTTGCTTTTTCCTCCTTGAACTTGCAGGTGAAAATGGCTGCAGAGGAGAGGTGGAAACAGCAAAAGGAGGCTGAGCATGGAGGGGAGAGGGAGCCGTGTGTGCTCCTGGGCCGGCAGCTGGGTGAAGCCGGGAGATTCGCCTACGCGGCGCTTTGTGGGATTTCCCTCGCCTGGCTGTTCCCTGAAAACGAGCAAAGGTACAAGTGGAGCGAGGGCTGAGCAGGGCAGGTGGATTTTGGGTGGTGGCTCTGCCAGAGATGCTATCAGACTCTTCTGAAGTTGGGGGAATGGAAGATCCTTTCTCTCTTGCACCTGTAAGACTTTTAAAATTCAGCACAAAACACATCCGTTGACACTGCAGACATCAAAGCATGTTCTGAAGCAAGGTCTAGCCCCACTCTGATTGTTTCCTTGTTTGTTTAGCCAGTTTGTTTAGCAATTCACCTTCTGCTGACTCCTGATGCTTTGATTTTTGTGTGAACCAATGTTTGAAATCAAGAACTGCTCAAAGCTTCCAAAAATACCGAGTTTGGAGCCTTGAAATACCCACTTGTGAAGCCTTAACTGCTTCTGTTGCCTTACAGCTCCTTCAGAACAGAATTCATCAAGGGCTTTGTGAAGTGGCTGGACCTGCCTGACGCTGTCTTACCTGCCATGACAGCCTTTGCTGATGGCTTAGGAGGTGAGGGCACAGAAACTTTCACTGAAATTTTGCTGAAGGATCCCATCTTGAAAGAAAATCCACTTCTTATTACCCAGGTAAGTCCATGTGCTCCCCTCATCCTTGTTTGCTTTGCAAAAGAGGTTTGTCCTATCTGTCTGTTTGCAGCTGAAATGCTGTTTGTGCAGTCAGGGAAATAAAGTCAGTATTTCTGATGGGCATTTATTTATAACCAGCTGTGGGGAGACTGGCAGTCTATCCATAAAGAGCTCTTGGAAATGATGAACGTGTAGCATGGTCACTGTCTGCTGAGTTGTGTCTTTGATGGTTGCACTCTACACAGCAGAGAACTGACAGAGTTTTTACTTGGATTATGTTACTGCAGTGGTTTCCATTCATACACGTGTTGTACAGATTTTAGTGATACCCTGAACACAGTAGACCTGATTTTCACTTGTTTAAAAGCCCCTTCACTATATGTGTATCACAAACCACCTCCACATACTTGCTCCAAGGAGCATAATTTCCAAAGTGTTCTTCCCAGAGTACACTTTGACCAGAACGAAGTTTTTGTGACTGGATTTTCTTTCACCGAGGAAGTGAAATTTGGGCTGCTCCATAATGTTCTGCTGTAAAAACTGATGGAAAGATAAAAGAGGTGAAGCATTTTGGCAGCATTTGCTGGGGAAGATCTCTCCTCATCCAACCTCATGTTATGCCATGCAGGGTGAAGAGAGCTTTGGGCTGCTGCTGGTGGTGCACAGAACATGGGTTCTGTCACCCTGTGCTGTGTCACCCTGTGCCAGACACCCTGCATAAGCCAGTGCTCTGCTATTGATTGATTAAGGGCTATCACACACTCACCTTGAGCAATGGCCTGGCAGAGCAGCAGATGTGAGGACCTGGCTGTGTTAGGGGAGATAAGAGCAGTGAACTTCTCTGGTCACCATCAACAGCTCCCATTTCCTCAGCCACCTTTTCCTGTCTCCTGTCAGTTCATGAAATGCCTCAGAGGATCTGTTCCTAGTCCAGAAGTGCTCAAAGTCCTACAACAGTACAAGGACAGCAACAAAGATCTTAATTAATAATTTAGAGTATATCTTCTAAAATAAAAGTGGCTCTTTGGATGCTGTTTCCTCAAATTCAATACATCCACACTCATTCTTTTTGCCTTGACGTGCTTCCTGTGTCATTTCCCTCATTCTCTCTGCCTCAGGATGGATTCTCTGCATTGAGGCTGGTTTTCCTGCATTGCTGCTGAGTTTATTAAGGCTGGAATTTGACTTGTGTTTGCTCTGAGCTTATGCTGCATGAGGGCTCCATGTGCTTGAACAAAAGTGGCTGTGGATCAGCGGGAGCACACGGGATTTTGCTCTGACAGGAAACTGAGGATATTCCCTGGATTTGGGAATTCTGGATTTGGATTTCTGGAATACAGAAACCATAGACAACTTTGATCAGTTGAAAGCAAAGATGAGGAGTAACTATCAGTCTAATGCCACAGCAGCAACCCCTTACACAGTCAACTGCATGTGGGCAAGGTGATTTATTTTGTCTGAGGAGAGGCAGAACGAAGGACTTGAGCAGAGCAAGGCAGCAGAGGTGTGTCAGGTAAAAACACTGGTGTGTAGGAAACATCAGCAATAACCTGGGTTCAGCTTCTTCCTTCTTAACTGGAAATAAACAAGCTACGGGACAAAGCTTTATGAATTATTGATCTTTTGCTTTATGGTGCTTGTGCTCCTTTGTATGCAGCTGCTGCTGACGCAATATTTACTGTTTATTAATTGCTTTAATTGCTCAGCCTGTTCAGTGGCAGGGCCTTGCTGGCACTATTGCTGCATTTTTGAAGGCCGTTCATCTCAGAGGAGCTGAAGGGATGATCCATGAAGTCTGGAGATTAGATGTGAGCTCACCATTGATTCAATGAGCATCTGAGGATTAGGGATTGTTATCTTTGTGTTCATTGCAGATGACTAATACAGGCAGATGGTGGTAACTGAATCTTTAAAGACAGTAGTCATAGCAGGCTGTGGGTGTGGTATGGGAAGGCAATGCAATAAAAGAAGTGTAGAAGCAGTGATAGGTGATAAAACATTGAAAATTCTTACAATGAATATGTTTTTGCTCTAAACATACTTAGAATGCCCATTTTCCAGTGTTTTTCTACCCACATTCAGTGCAATGTGGATTTGGGGCTCTCTGTTTTAAGGAAATGAATTTTGAACTTGCATCAACTCAGAAAAAGCTGGCAAAGACTGAATAAAGAGTCCCTTCTTTTGAAAGGCTTCTCAGTCATATGGGTGGTTGTCTTGTCACAGAGTTCTCATGGAGATTCAAAACACTGACTTCAAAATAAGGCTGCAATATAACAACTGCTGCTTGGGGAGGAAAACAAACCAGTTGTGAACTAATCTAATCACTGCTGGTTGGATTCCAGCTGCCTGCATGTGCAGTTCATGCACAGCCTAAACTATAGCCTAAATATGAGAGTGCTAACTGGCATGGATGCCATAAAAACAGTTGTTTCAGTTTATCACCTGATTACCTACGTGCATCCCTGACCTTTTGAAAGGCATGTGTGTACATGCTTAGGCCAGGTTTGTTTGGGGTGGTTCCATACAAGGTGCCACAGGTGATACTGGGCAGACAGGATGGGACCTGAGCCTCACTGAGGGAGAGTGTACTGTCCACAAACCATCACCCTCTTGCAGAGGCTGCTCACATCAGTCTGTGGAAAACTGTGGCAACAAGGTCACAAGCTTCACTTTATTCTAGACTCCAGGCCCTTTGTTTGGTTGGCTTTTTGCTCCACCTTGTGCTGGGCTTTGACACCTCTGTGCCAACCCATCCCTCAGAAATGCACCCAGAGGTGGTGGTGCCTGTGTAGCTGATCCCTGGGCACCCCCAGGACTCAGGCTTTGGGAAACCAGTTCCATCCCTCCCTCTGGATTGGTGTCTCCAATTCCCACATCCCACCAGCCAGCCTGGGGAGCAGTCTGCAGTTTGTCCCTCTTCTGGTTGGTTCAGGGTGGTTTGTTCTGCATTCTCCATTTCTCATGTGTAGGGCTCTCAGATTAGAGACGTTACAAACTGTGCTTGGGAGCTTACAGGACTAATAATCATAAACTCTTTGGCAGCCTCCTACTTCTTTGGCTGCATTTTTTGTGTTCCCAGAGGGCTGAAAGGATTCCCTGTAAAATTCAGCTGTGCTGTATTTGTGTGTAGGAGAGGGAAGCAGCTCGAGTGAGCTGGTGCTTAATGTAGTCACATAAAGAGCTTAGAATTTGTCCAGTGGCAATAAAAGAGGAGAACACAGTTGTAAAAACACTGGCCTCTTTTTCATGGATTTATCCATAGAAACCATCCATTGAAATGATTTGTTTTTCCATTTTTTTTGTGGTAAAGAGCCAACACAGAAGTCAAGTCCCCCAATCTTGACAGGCCATGAATTCTGAGTTTTTTAACTCACTTAATCCAAAAGAACTTCATCCCAGTTCAGCCTTACTGTGTAGAGCTGTGAATTCCCAGAATGCCAAAGAAAACAGGGGCCATTAGAGGAGCATTCAAACCTGTTAGTGATGTTGCATTTGTGAGTACATACGAGTGTAGGGAGCAGAAGGCATTAGAGTGGGAGGTTTAGAGCCCTGTTCCTCCAAACTTTGAAGTCTGGTCTAAGATCAGGATCATAACAAAATAACAAAAAATGTGGGGTGCCTCAGCATATATACCAAGCATTATCTGCTTCTATTCAGCCCTTTGGAGAATTTTGGACTGGTTTTGCTCTGTGCTGCCTCACTGAAATGTAACTTTCTGCTTCTCACTTATGAACTGAGCTGCTGTGGTAATTCAATCAGTTTGATGGGTTTTTTGCCTGCATTTTGAATCCTCCAGAACTACATCATCAGTTTTAAATTGAATATTCTTTTTTTTCTCTCTCTTTAGAACCTTTTATCGTTCTCTCTTCAAGATGGTAAGTTTACTTAGCATTTGTTCTTTGTAAAAATAATACAGTTTAGTTTATATCTGATATTTTAAAGTGCTCAAAAAGGTACTATCCTATTCATCTCAGCTTCCACTCTGGCACAACTGCACACTCCTTCCCTGCATCTCCTTCAGGAAAAGCAGCTCTTAACACTAGGAATGGTTAATAATACCCACTGCAAACTGAATAGCTCTTCACCTCCTTACCTTCACACACCATGCATTGGCAAGCAGATGTAAATGGTGCTGGAGTGGGGTGGTTTTTCTCCAGTGTTTCCAGGGGAGCAGGTGACCTCTTCCTTTAGAAAGGCAGGAAAGCTGTTATGAAAATCTCAGCCTAAAGTATTTTCTGCTGGTTGCCTAAAAAAAAAAAATAAAATAATAAGTTCAGGGTATAAATTGCAGAGTGTCCTGTGAAGCCCATTATAAAGAAATGTGATTTTTCTCATATATTATATTACACATAAAACAGTTCTCTGGTTTGCAATCCATTACATGGATTAGTCTGATAAAATTAATGAAATAAAGACTGTCTGCTGAACAGAATGTTCATTTCTAAAAGAAGCCTGGATTCTATCACTACTTGCATTTTTGAAATCTGTGTGTTTTAACATGTTCTCACAGGAAAGAACTCACTGGTTGCTGATTAGCCCGTTGCACTGCAGAACAAAACAAGTTTTGTTCTTTATTTTTAATGGAAAATTGACAAGTCAGTTATTGCAAAACCGCTTATTTTGTGAATAGGAGAGGCTGGAATTTAGGAAATTCCAGGCTGGAATTTAGGAAAAATATCTTTCCAAGCCTCCCTGCCTTCCCAGCAGGCTGGTGAGGAAGGAGCCCAGCAGTGTCAGCAGACAGAAAAAAGAAGGGGGCTTGTTACACCTGCCTGGTCTTGTAGGACGTGCCACATTTCGGGAAGGAGTGAAGATAAATCCTGTCCTCATTTCTCAACTAAGCACAATCCTGATCAAGAGCGTCATTAAAGGCCACGTAATTAGTTTGGTATCTTGGTAATGATGGTAATAAATAAACTATCTTAATAGATTGCCCAATGACGTATTCGATCTACGTGCAGCAGGGATCACAAGCGTTCATTGTAATTGGGTCTTGCTGGTATCTTCACCCACCCTGAGGAAAGCAATTGTGTTTTTCATCCCAGAGTGCACCAAAAACCCTTTGTAAAAGCCAAACATCAGGAAGCAGCACATGTTGCTTAGAGAAATACATTAAAAAAACAAGAGTTGGCACAAATAATTTAAAGCCTATTACATCTATTCAAGATGTTTTTTCTTCTAAGATATCTCCAAGAACACCTGCTTACAAAACCAGGAGTGATCAGTTCTGTTGTTTGGTGTTGTCTGAGTGCACTGTCCACTCCTGCATCTCCAGCAGGGAGTGTAAAAGCAGACATTTGTCCGTGGTGCTGCTGGGGGAGCTGGTGTGCAGCTTTACACTCCTGAGTAAAGCTTCTCTTATTGCCACCAAAGAAGAAGATAAAGCTTTTGCATGGAGGTGCATTTTGTAAAACCCACCTTCCTGTACTGGTGCAGTCAAGGTGGGCTGTGCCCAGTTACCCACACAGACATGTTTGATATTTCCAGCTAGCAGTGGTCCTGCTGCAGCATTTCTCTGTTGAAAAGTTTGCCTCTACCACAGGGGATGCCCAAAGGATCTGAGATCCTTTTCTTGCCACAGAGGCATTACCTGGTGTGGTGGCTTTCTTCACAGGGAAGAAGGATTTGCCATTTATCAGTCTCTTCTCATGTTCCTGGAAGAAAAAAAGGGCCTGGGGGAAGGAGCTGCTCTGTGACACGTTCCTTGAGTACTCTGCTCCTTAATTAAACTCTGTCATCAGACTGATCAGACTGATTTCCTGGGCTTTTCTCTCTTCAAGGATCCTATGATGCTCGAGCCAGGGTGTTGATCTGCCGTGTCAGCTGGCTGCTGAGAATTCCCTTGGAAGATCTGGAAGTCCTGGAGGAATCTCTGCTTGAGAGCCTGAAGGAACAAAAAGAGGAAGAGTCAGAGTAAGAACATTTGGGTTGATACGGGATCAAAAAACGCTGCCAGCACTCAAAAACTTAGCAGTAATTACTTGTGCCTAAGTCCAGTCTCTGATTATTCCCCACATGGCTCTTCCCGTAATCATTTATGGCTTGATTAGGGTTGCAGAGCCTTCACACCACTGACAAGCAGAAAAGTTCAGCATTCTTAAAATCAGAGCTGAGATCTGGCCTTGCACACTGCTAAAAGCTGTTCTGCACTGAGCTGCCTCCTTTCCTCTTTCCAGCTGCCTCTCAGAGATTGTAGATTTTGCATAAATACATCACAAAGATCTTGTTGTCTCTTGGTCCAATATCCTTCAGCTAGAACTGCCTCTTGCAGAATGAATTCCTCCAGATAATCAGGGTGAGATCCTCAGCTGTTCATTGTTTCTGGATCTGTCTTTAAGCATCTTTAAGAGACAGCTGGATAACTCCTATTGAAGGGAGATTTCTGAGGGCAACAGGCTGAATCTTCAGATATGTACAGACCTAGCTCACAATTCTATGTTATGAACACAGGATCCATTCTTGGTATCTGTAAGAAATTTGGTATCTTTGTATCCCTCTCAGGAATTGTGTGACAATTTAGTGATATTTAAGGCAGTAAATATGTCCATAGTGGACTTTCTAGGGAAATAATTTCATCTGTCTACTCAGCAAATGGGTTATGAGATTACCCTGAATGCTAATAAAGGCTTTAATTGACACCTTTGCCATGGTTCAGCTCAGATGTTACCATGGGGTCCAGCATGTGATGGGTATCTTCCAGTAACAGCTGTATTTAAATAATGCTTAACTTTATAGCACACTGTAAAAAGGAAAAGTCAGAATAATCTCAAAGATTAAACGTTTGGTGTGCAGGAGCAAGGGTTGGTATTAATGGGGACTGTTTTGCGGGAGTTTGTTGAAACAAACTCAGTGCTGGGCCTTTAAGATGTGTCTGATAACGGTGAAAGAACATTGTGGATTTCAAATCCTGCTGCCAGCCCAGTGGGGTTCCTCTGGAGAAACCCAGGGATTCTTACCTTGTCCTTTGCCCAAATTGCAGCCATGGGAGTAAATGTCTAATGGAGAAAAGGAAGAAGAAAAATCTTTATGGTGAGAGGAGCCCAAGACCAGTGTGAACACGTTGTTATTGCTGTGCTCAAACAAGGCTGAGATTTGTGGGGCATCAATGACCCTTTCTTTGGCTTGAAATCAGGAGTCAGTGGGGAAAGGAAGCTAAATATAAACCTGTCATCACCTTGACCTCACAGATTTTGGGGCTGGGAACACCATCACGTGCTTGGGATGCTTCCAGCTTTGACCATCAAGAAGTTTTGGAGCAGAAATAACCAACCAGGGGTTTGACAGCTCCTGCACAGGTGTTTTTTACTGATATTTGTTAACAGGAGGTTTTGCTCCTGCCTTTGCTGCTATGGATATGTTGGATTGAGGCCCAGAACCTACAAGGTTAAATGTACAATCCTCTAAAGAATAATGCTCCAACCACTTAAATCCATGTTAGTTGCACCAAATGTGCTCTGACCTGCAGGTGAGAACCTTTCTTTTGTACACAGTTCTGTAAGAAACTGGAAAACATCACAACATTTGCTTGCTAATGCGTGCTCCTGCCACCTTTCCTTATTGGGAAATGACCTGAAATTCCCCATAACTATATCTCTGAACATAATTTGTAGTTCAGACAAGAAGCTGCACATCTGAGCTCAGTGAGGGCAGAGAAATACCAGAAGCAGCAGTTAATTACCAGAGTGGATAAAAGCAGTCTGGTAATCCAGTGATAATGGTAATGGAGGAGCCATTTAACAGCTGCTGGCAGCTCCAGAAGGGAATCAGTGTCAGGTAAAACTTCTCCTTTTATTTACTGCATCAGCAGGCAGGATTTAGCTGCCACTCTCCTTCTCCCCACATAACTCAAGCTGCTCATTATTCCAGCTGACTCCAGGTTAGACATGTTCCAGCTCTCTTGTCATTATTTGCAGCCTGAGACACAGTGCAGTGACTGTAAAAGCTGATGAACCTCTTGTAGAACAGAAATTGCTGGGTACTGCCAGCTTAGGTATGAACAGCCTGGCTGCAGCACTCGTGTAAAGAGCTCCAGGAGCAATTTTATCCAAAGCCAAGCATTCAGACTGGTGACTAAGGCACAAAGTAGAGCATTTTGAAAGCATGAGAGGAAACGGCCTTAAACTGCTCCAGAGGATGTTCAGGTTAAATCAGGAGGGATTTCTTCATGGAAAGGGCTGTCAGGCATTGGAAGGGGTTTCCCATGGAGGTGGTGGAGTCCCCATCGCTGGAGGTGTCCAAGGAACAGCGGGACACGGCACCCTGGGCTGGGTGGCAAGATGGGGATCAGGCACAGCTTTGACTTGATGGTCCTGGAGATCCTTCCCAGCCTCCAAGATTCCATGATTCTCTGATAGCCAAACACTTCTTTGTCCGTGGGGCTGTAGAAGTGGCTGTGGTTATGCAGAATTTGGATTTCATATTAGGTGTTGCTCTCTGCAGACACCACATTTGCAGCTGCATAAGGTAACGAGCAGTGGTTTTTGGAGGGTCTCTGTGACGTGCAGGTCTGTGGGAGTTCTGCCAGTGAGTGCAGTGACTCAGGGATTTCACCCACTGAGCTCCATTCTCCTCCTGCTGCGCCTCACAAAGCTGCATATTGTCTGGGACTCGTGTAAAATTGTCCTAATCAAAATTACAGTCTGCTTAGGGGGGTTCCAGGAAGGATTAAGCAATTATATGGATAATGAAAATCCAAAATTAGGCTAGGATTAACAGGGAAAATATCCAAGTTTGGAAGCAAGATAACTTGTCACGTTTCAAGGCCTGGATTAAGTGCTGTGTAAACAGGCCAGAAGGAACCTTCCTCTGGAAACAACTTGTGCCTCTGTTTCTCCCACTTCCCACTGAAGCTGAAGCACTTCTTGTAAGAGAGAAAGCAAAGACACAGGAGAGAAGTCAAAAGTAGTGGCTAATAAGTGGTACTTGTTCCTTTTAGGTTTATTTAGCTCTTTCTGATAAGCTTGTTAAAATACAGCTTTAGTGCACACTGATGACTGTGTTTAATTCCTATTATTATATTGTGATGTGCAATTAGAAAGCAGCTCAAAGTAAACACTGCTGTTGGAAAACAGTTTAATTGCATCTCTGTTTGTTAGCACAAATTATCCATATTCCCTTTTATTCCAAACACTTTTCCCTGTTTCTTCTTAGCTTTCTTGTGGCTTTTTAAGACACTTAGGCAACATATAGTTAATGAAATGCTTTTGACTTTTTGTTTCTTTCTTTTTTGTTTTTTTTACAAGCTTCAGCCCTATTAGGAAGGGTTTTCTGAGTAAGTAATATCTGTTGGCTTTTGTCAGCAATTAAATCGTTTCAATTTAAATCTGTGGTCCATTTAATCCATTCAATTTAAATCTCTAAATCCATGCTCATAAATCTCAGTGTGCTGTCACAGTCCACACCTGCATGTTCCTTTTTACTGTTCCCAGGAGGGAAGTTACACCAAGGAGAATAAAAGCAGATTCTGATACAGCATTGTTATCCGTTGGGCTTTTCCCTTAGTTTTTGTACTTTTAATCCCCCACAGAACTGCAGAAGTCTCAAGAAAAAAGAAGGAAAGAAGGAGAAAGCTGAAGAGATACCTGCTGATCGGTCTGGCAACTGTTGGGGGTGGAACAGCGATTGGTGAGGCTGCCCTTGGCATTCTGGGGACACAGCACCAGGGACAGAGAGGGGTCTGACTCCAAGAAAAGTATTTTCAGCCCCACAGAAATAAACAAGAAAGAGTTAGCTGGAAAATCTATTCCTTCACTAGCTGGGGGAAGTATTAAACTGAGGTTGTCACCCTTAAAAACAAGGAGAAAACTCCTTCTTTGCTCTTATGTTACAAGAGGATGAGATCTTCAGCTCTGAAATCAAAAGTGTGAGATTAGATCAGTGTTTCCTGAGCAAACAGAATACAGCTCACCCCAGGTCACCACATTGTCTTCCTTTGACTTTGAAATTATTCTTCATTTTTTTGAAGTCATTCAAAGAATTTGGGCAGAGATTCAGGGTCTGGAGAGGGTCTCAGGAAGTCCCTTTATTGCACATGCAAAAAGCTCTTCCAGCAGCAGTAGCAGCACTCTCCCAGCACAGGGAAATGCCTGCCTGGGGTTTTTAAGGAGTAATAGTTTGGTGATATCCCTTTCTGCATCCTCAGGTCTGACAGGAGGCCTGGCTGCCCCTCTGGTGGCTGCAGGAGCTGCCACGATCATCGGGAGTGCTGGAGCAGCTGCTTTAGGATCAACTGCTGGCATCGCTGTCATGGCATCCCTGTTTGGAGCAGCAGGAGCTGGTCTTACTGGTGAGAGAGTGACCACACCTTTCTCATTCCCTGGGACACAGGATCATGTCTACAAACACAGTTAATGACCCCACTGAACTCTCTGCAGAGTGAGGGAAGCGATTTGAGGTGTAATCCATGAGATTTTGGTCTCAGTGCTGATTAAGGTACTGTGTAGCCCCTGGTGACCAAGTAGGGAAAAAATATTTGGAGTGTGGTTAATGTAGGAAATGAAAACTTGCTGCTTTGGGTTAGAAAGATGCTGCCATGGAGAAAAGCAGCTGTTAGAGCAAAAAAAAAAAACCAACCTTTTGCTGGGTTCCCTCAGATCACACAAGCTCAGAAAGATCATGCTGGCTCCTTACCAAGCTATAAGTAATGCATGGGCTGACTGAGGGTTTTGGAAAGGAAAAAAACCCTCCCCAGATTACCCAATTATTTTCTTAACAAACTCCTACTGTTAGCAGAGGGTGTCCTTTCTGTGCCATCTCTGAGCCGTGTTTCTTCCTGGCTGTGTGTAGGATACAAAATGAAGAAACGTGTGGGAGCCATAGAAGAGTTTGAATTCCTCCCACTCACTGAAGGGAGGCAGCTCCACATCACCATAGCAATCACTGGATGGCTGTGCACTGGCAAATATGGTAAGAACACGTTGAAGAAGCTGAGAGGAGCTCCAAGAGCTGTGCCTGTGTCCCAGTCCAGGCTGTGCTGTGCTCACACAGCACCATGTCTGCCCCACATTTCCATAGCATGTTAACTGAACCACATCAATTCTCAAAAAGAGGGCGTTAATTTGGTGGTGAGAGCAGGACTGGGAGCAGCCATGGCAGGATTGTTTCTGTTAGGAACATGGTTTTGCCAGAAAAGGCCTGTTTGGGAGATGACTGCCAGCACTAGTACGAAGTGTCTCTGAGACCTTATGTTTATCCTCCAGGAATTAACAGAAAATAGTGTGTTTTTGCTCTCTGTATCTGCCAGCTAATGAGGTTTATTGGCAAGAAGGTTCTGTCAAGTAAATCCTGTTAAGCACAGCACTCCAGAGCTGACTTACAGGGGAAACCTTGAAAGGTCTGTAGTTCTTATTTTCCAGTGTAGCTTGTCATATAAAATATGTCACCTGTCTGCTAATGTGCTCAGCAACCTGACTGAACAGCTGCCAGCTTATTGAGAAGCACCATAATTAACTCTGGCTACCATTAATGCAGAAGGATGTCTCGCCCTGTCACTTGCCAGGCTGCAGTTTGCTGTCACAGGGAAGTTCTTCTCACTTTGCAGTGCTGTGCTTTGGCTTCTCTCTTTGTCTGCTTGCCAGAGGTCCAAATCCTCAGGGCTGGAGGGCTCCCAGGCACAGTTAGAGAGGCAAGTGTGTCCCTCCAGGAACCTTTTTGTGTCTGTTTGCCCTTAAAAGGGAGTTACAGATGACACACATTCTTCTTCCATAACTAGCAATCTGCTAGAATGTTTTAAAGAGCAAAACTAGGGTTGTCATCCATTTTCCTCCTTACAGCAGTGTCTGTCTGTGTACACACTCCTTCAAACAGGGACTGAGGACAGGAGTTTTATGGAATTTGCCACTTTGTGATTTTGGAGCTGCCAAATAAGACAGACCACTGTGGGGATCTTGTGTCACTGCTCAGCAGCTGCCTCAACCTGACCTGCATTGTTTGGGGAAGGAACAGTGTGGGTAGATTTTTAATTAATTAAGATGACAGTTCTGCTCTGCCCTTCAGTGTAGATCTGTCATTAATAGCATTGCTAGAATATTCCAGTGTCCTGCAGGTTCTGTTCTGATCCTCTCTTGGGCTCCTCTTGCCAGGGATCAGCCATTGTGTTCTCTCCAAACATTAATTCCATCTTTCCAACCTTTCCAGGCAGCTTCACAGCCCCGTGGAGCAGCATGCTGCACTCGAGTGAGCAGTACTGCCTGGCCTGGGAATCCAAGTACTTGATGGAGCTTGGCAACGCCTTAGATTCCCTTCTGAATGGTTTTGTGAACATGATGGCTCAAGAAGCCCTAAAATTCACTGTCTTGTCAGGTGAGAAACTAAATCCTATTGGATCTGCTTGAGTGGCTCTTGTGCAGTTTCAGTGTTAAAGGAGCTTTCCTAAAGAGGGAATGTTTTGGAGGAGTCAGTGCTAGCATAGCCCAGCAGAGGTGACCTGAGAACCTCCTCTAGCACACCTATAATTGAGCTGTGCTTTCCTGGACTGCTGAGCCACCGTGTCATTGCGTCACTCTGTTAAAGTTACAGCTGGAAACACCTTCCTTCACGTGTGACTGTTCATTTCCCTGTGTTATTGCACATTTACTGCTGTCCAGAAACGTCCCAACACGCAGGTTACACTCACCCCCCTGTGCCAGAGCATCAGATTCTTTCTTATCTGTAGTCCAGCAAAACATTTCTCAGCACAGCTATTGGGAAAGAAGAACTGGAAATGACATAAACTCCTAGGCTTAGCCTTTAACTTCAGTGAACTCTCTTGGTTTTGATGTTTTCTAAGATATTTCTGTGTGTTGCAGGGATTGTGACAGCCTTGACTTGGCCAGCATCACTCCTGACTGTTGCCAGTGTCATTGACAACCCCTGGGGAGTGTGTCTGCATCGCTCTGCCGAGGTGGGCAAACACCTTGCGCACATCCTGCTCAGCAGACAGCAGGTAACTGGCCACAATTATCCAGGAAAAACAGCTGGAAGGGAATTGGCCCAGGGAGGTGAAGTTTTACTGGTTAAATGGTATCTTTCTAGGGAGAAAAAATGAATAAAACAAATGAAGGTGACCAGCAGATATCTGGCTCACTGGGGAAAAGGACGTGGTCCCAAGTGGATCAAAGAAATCCTGCTGGGATTTGTTCCATTTAACCTAAAGGTTTTCTCAGTGAGGAAGAAGAGATCCAGGTCAAAAATGGATTAACCATGTCACAACAGCCAGGCCCACTCACCTAGAGGAAGTCAGAGAGCAGGAGGTGAGAATGGGTGAGAAGGAAAGGAGAATACAAAGCATTAAAAACATTTATTGATCATTAAGAGGCACCAGCAAAACAACCTGAGAGAAAAGTGGGCAGCAGCCAATGCCCAGTGAGCCGTGGCTTTGCCTACAGAGAAGGGGAAGGGGCTGGTACCTGACAGAAGTGACAGAAATCTCTCTGAAAAGGTTTGAAAAAAGACATTTCTGAGCCCCTGCCATCATTTGCTGGGCCAGCACTAGTTTTTGCTGGCCATGTGTTTGTCTCACACCAGTCACTGCAGATTATGGAGGAGCCCGAGGGGAACTGTGACCCCAGGCAGGTGGAACAAACTTTTATTTCTCATCAAAACCCAATCCTAGAAAACTCAATAAAATTTAATTTCATACAAGCCCTTTCTTTTGCTATGGGGCATTTGTTCCTGCCTGTTAAGCATTTGCTGTTGTGAAAACACACATTCCAGTGTGCTGGAGAGTCTAAAACTAGTTAATGAGATGTCTGGGGTGTCCATCACACACCTGCTCCCTGGATATTACAAAAAACATTTTTCATTGATGTTGGGATTAGGCTCCCTTTAATCTTACAGAAAATCTTATTAAGCTGTCCAAAATAAAAGGTTAGAGCTTAAAAGCCACATCATTTTTTATAACCATTGCATGCTGCTGCTGTCACTCAGCAGTCAGTATTTTGTGTTATGGCTTCTTCTTCTTCTGTGTATTGAAACATTTCTAGGGAAATTTTGTTCCTTGAGTAAGGTTTTCATTTGGAAATTTCAAACCAACTACAGCATCTGTTTTGGTTCTGTTTGAAACATCAGCTTTGTTGTAACTTCTGATCCTTAGATTTCTTTTTTTCAGTTGATTTTCTGAAGATCAAAACATACAACATACTCAGATATGTAGAAGTCTCCAAACTGAACTGGGCATAACTATCAGGAGACCTGATCCCTTTGAAACCAACCTAATTGCTCCAGTATTTCAAAAGTGATGCACAAGCAGGTGCTCTGTGTCTCAGGCTCTCGGGGATCCCAAGCCCAGCCTCTCTTTCCAGAGAAAACACAATTTGGTGGCATTTTTTCCTCTCTTTCCTTCTCAGGGCCAGAGACCTGTCACACTGATTGGCTTCAGCCTGGGTGCCAGAGTCATTTACTTCTGCCTGCAGGAGATGGCTCAGGAAAAAGGTAACATTCACTTTCTAACTGTTATTTTCTTTTATTTCCCTTACTCCTGGTGGAGAAATTTTTCTTCCAAGAGGAAGAACAGAGCTTGGCTCTTTTAGGACAGGACAAAAACAAAAAAACCCGAGGTTTAAATGCCTTTGGAGCCAAATTCTGCTGTCATTTCCCCCAGTCCAGCAGAAGAGAATCCACAGTCTTCAGTTGAGGGGTTTCAGTGAATCATTTGGTCTGTAAACAACAACGTGACATTTGTGATCAGTCTGGAGCTGCCCATGCACTGCCTGATCCCAGCAGAGAATGCTTTGCCTTTCTTGGGAGCTCTCTGCAGCTCTTCTATCTGATTCCCTGAGTCCTGCCTTCCATTTAAGTCACTGAAATGCCACTGTCATCTGCTATTTTCATGGTAATTTTCCCCCAAAGTCAAGTAGAAAACCATCTGTCAATTTATTACCCATTGTGGTTCTGTTTATTAATAGATTTCTATTTTTAATTTAGGGGGGAAAAGAAAGAGTAATATCATTTTGATCAGTTGATGGAAATTGTATCTTGGAGTTGAGTCAGCAGTGAGTGTGTGCAGCCTGCCTTCCCCCCACGCAGCAATTTAACTCATTAAACTTTAGCTTCACAATAAATCATAAATAGGGAATTTTATAAAGGAAAATGTCTAGTAAAGTCCAAGAAGGTGGATATAGAGTCAGTTGAAGATGGAGAAGGTCAGGACTGACAGCTGTGTGCCAGAACTTCACTTCTGATTTAAGACAGAAATCCTCAAATACAGGAATTCTGTTCTCAAAATAAATCTAATCAAATCCAGAATAATCCTTACAGAGTTACACTGGAGCCAGGACCCAGATCCTAATCTGGCCCTAGTTTTGTGTCGTGAGAATTCCAAGGGCTGAGGTATTTCCAGGTTCTGTTTCAGTCTGCAGGCTCTGGAATGACATGAGCCCATAGCTTAGGGAGGAAATCCTTAGGGGTCTGGAAGGTTGGCTGCCACTCCAAAGAAATCGTGGTGATGTATCAGAACAGTTCCCACCATGCACTGATTTTTCAGTTCCCTAATTGAATTCTGAAAGCTGAGCTGTTTGTGAGATGAAAAGCATGTTTAGCACAGATTGCCAAGGCGTTCTCACAGGCACATTCCAGAGCAAGCCACAGAAGGAACAGAGCTGGGACCTGGGACAGCTGAGACTGATTTGGGTTTGGATTTGGATGTCTCACACGAAAGGAACACACGGCCTTGTCGTGCAGGGCTCTGTATCCAGATGGCAGTGGCATTTCTGAGGACAAATAGCTAATGATGGATTGGCCAGTGAAACACCATGGCAGGAACTCAGAGTGTTCAAATGCCTCCCTGCAAAGCAATGGAATAACCTTTGGATACTTCAGCGATCACGGATCGCTTCGGCAGCCAGAGCTCAGCAGGTTTCCAGAAAATGACATTATGGCAGAAGCTGGAGAGTCAGTGAGACATCAGAGACACGTTACTGCATGGGAAGATCATTGCTCTGATTTCTTCATCGTGATTCCCATGCATTTTAATAAATAATTAGCAAATTAACGCAAATTGATAATGGCTGTTACCAGCAGAGACCGCACCTTGATACCCAGCTGTGTGTCACAGGAGTGAGGTGTCACACACGGGGTGTTTGGTACTGGTCACAGTTCATGTCACCAGGATCCCACTGGGCTGTGATCCCTGCTGTGCTCAGTGTTGGGAATGCTGCTGCCAGCTCTGCCCTGGAACATCTGGAGCTGAATTCCAGCCCTGTTCTCCCTCCAGCCAGGACTGATGTGCTGAGGTGCTTTCCCTTTCCCAGGCACAGCAAAGCCCAGCTCCCAGGATTGCTTATGGTGGCTGGGACAGCTTCCTTCTTCCACACCTTTTCTGCAGAAATCATCTTAATCAGGGTTGAATTTTGGCCTCTCATTCTCACTCTGTTCTCACCTGCTTGGACTTGATTGGAATCTTTCCTTTATAAAACTCCTTATTCATTAACCACTCTCTGTGAGGCTAAATGGTTAATGAAATATTTTTTTTTCACTCCTTTTGCAGACTTTACTGTTCTTCATCATCTAGAAGATTTACAAACTGTGAAATACATTAATTTATCTCTAGGCTCAGCTGCTCTGCAGGCCAGTAATCTGTTCCCAGGTTTCTATATTGTCAACATTCAAAGAAAATGAGCATTTTTCAGCCAAGACTAAACATTTTTTTTTGTTCTAAGCAAGCAATAAGCTAGACAAAAGACTAGAGAAACAAAAGCTTGCCCAAATATTCAGGATCCTGATGAATTAGCTGCTTGTTTATTCAGTTGGCTCACACCATGGAGGTGGAATTTAGAACCTTGGTTGGAACGAGCTTCCCGTTAGCGTGGCTCTGGGTTTCCTTTTGATTGCCCATGATTATGGGAACAAGGCTTTATTGCTCACAGATTACACTCACAGAATTGAATTGCTCTTTGCTCTTTTTGATTGGTGCAAAATTTGCTCTGTGATAAGAAATAATTCCAGAGAGCTCATTTGGATTTGTCAGGCACGGGGATTTACACGGAGAAGGATGCAGGCACTGCAGGCAGCCCCAATCCTTTACTGCTATCAGGGAAAGGAAGCTAAGTGATTTACATCTGAAAATTACCCAGGCAGAACCTCTCCCTCAAAAGTTTGGTTTAGCTGTGGAGCCTGGTGTCCCACAGGTGCAGAGTATGAATTTGGAATATTCTGCTCATGAGTCTTCCATTTAACTGCTGTGGCATCAGAGGCTTCATCTCTCTTTACAAAGATTTATGGAAGATACTGATATATTGTTCAGGAGTTTAGGAAAGCAGCAGAGCTGCCCAGTATTCCTCATCCCATCATTATTCCTCCTGAAATTGCCCAGCTGCAGCTCTCTGATAAGTGAGGAAGATTTATTGTGCTTAAAAATCAACATTGCTGTTCAGCAAATCAGGCCCTGGGCATTCAGGTTACAGCAGAAAGAAATCAAACCAGTTTGATAGATCTTCACTGGGTATTGGCAACTGCCTCTGTTGCTGCTACTTCCAAATCAATATTAAGAATTTGTGATTTCCTCTTGCGTGTTCAGGTCATGTTTTTCAAAGAATCAGCTGTGGGAAGAGTTCCTCATGCTTCATGTGGGCTCTCAGACCCCTTCTCCTGTTTTGAAGCTCTGTGTAAACCCACATCAGTGAGTCTGCAAAAGGACCTTTCCAAAGGTTTCCAAACCTTTCCAGAGATTTGCTGCTTGAACAGCATCTTTCTGGGCAGAGGCCACTTCTCTCTCCTGCACCATCTGAGGATCTCAATTTTTCACATTTACTAACTCCAGGTGAATTGTGGACACTTAAGATGTATGCCAAGTTTTATTTATGATCCTCCTTTCCACTGTTTCTGCCTTTCAAATCGAAGCCATCACAATGAAGATTTTTCTGTAGTGCACATCCAAACACACTTCATACAAGAATATTTTCTGATCCATCTTCTAAACCTGAACTGTTCTGCTTTCACCTCTACAGACTCACAAGGCATCATTGAAGATGTTGTCTTACTGGGAGCTCCAGTGGAAGGAGAAGCCAAGCACTGGAGAGCTCTCACCAGAGTGGTGTCAGGCAGGATCATAAATGGCTTCTGCAGGTCAGTGTGTGCTCTTGTGAGCCTGGAAGTGGTTTGGGGTATTTATCATTGATTCAGCAGTGCCAGAGCCTCGTCCCTCCAGGCTTCTCCCTCAGATCCATTGGGGATGGCAGCTTCAGGAGGCACTTGGAGGCTGTTGGACGCAGCTTTTGGCTCTTTGTGCCACTGGAAGGCCATAGAGGGACAGCCTAAAGCTGGGTCAGTGTGTTTGTGGGTGTAATCTGATATATTCTAAAGCCCCTTGAAATCTCAGCTTTGTGTGAAGGACCATAAATACAGCAGGTAAATTCACTGGCTTAAAGAATGAGAATTAGAACCTATAAAAACTTCAAGATGCAGTTCACTTGTGGCTGCTTATGGGGGAAAAGATGTGAAAATCACAATGGAAGGGAAGGAGCTCAAGCAAATTGAAGGGTTTCATATCTGGAGTGGGTTTCTGGTCAAGATAATCCACATGAACAAGATATTGAACTTGCAAAGGAAGAATAGCTGGAATAGCTGTAGCAAATTTAGTAAGGATGTGAATGAATACAAAGCTTGCCTTCAAAACAAATACCAGCCTTTTAAAACCACATTTAAAAACATTTTAGAAATAAAAGCAGACAACTGTTGTGCAGTTATGGGAGCTGCTGGGTGAGAAGGGGGAGATTCAGAAACCTGAAACAATCTCAGAAAAGCTATTAAGTATTCAAGTGACACCTTCAAACCTAATGACTGTGTCTTAGAAGATAATTGTGGCAGGAACACTGCTTACCAGCACAATTAGATAAGGGGAAATTAAAACCAAGGAATGAAGCAGGGAAGACTAAGAGCATGGGGAAATAAATTGAGAAATAATCAGGCAAGAAAATTAGCACAGAACCTGCAAGTCAGGACAGTTTATAAAGCTGTGAGCCCTCAGGTCAAGGAGAGGTGAAAATGCTGCTGGTGTTTTCCATGCTTGCATCCATAGGGATGCCTACACACGTACATGGAAGGTGGGGAAGTATTGTGTTACTGTGATTCTAACAGAGTGTTTTTACTTAGAAAGAATAACTAAATAAATGAATTAAAAGTATTCAAGCTTAAAACAATAAATTATCAATCCTGTCTCTCGGCTAGGTTGGAAAGTGTTGCTTTTGTCCTCTTTGGATCCCAGGATTTTCAGGGATGCTGGATGTAAACACCACTTGCAGTGTTTCTTCCTGTGCCATAATAAAAAGCTGCCTCCCTGGGAGTGCTCTGAGTTCCTCCAAGAAGCCATAAATTACAGAAATCATTGCATTTAACTGAGTTTACCCAGGAAATGTTGTTCCTCTCTGTGTTCTACAAAAAGAAATTTCACTGTAAATAGCTCGGTGTATCCATTTCCTATAACACACAGATACAAAAAAAAAGATCTTGTTGTATTTTCTTCTAAAGATCTTCTATAGTTTGCCTTGTGCTGTTGAAATAAAATACAGAGTGTGTGTGTCTAGAGGGTTATTCAGGTAACATGGGGGCAGCTAGAGGAGGGAACTGAGAGATTTGGGGAATTTCTGTGAGGATTGAGGTGAAAAGAAAGATTATATAAACATTTTGTGGTAAGGCCTCACCCGATTCTGATTTCTCTGGTCTCTTGCTTGTACAAAGGGTGGCCTCGTTCTGTCACTTCAGGAGGAACTATTTAGGTTGGATGAATTGCACTGAACAGAATTCCTGTGAGATCAGATTTGAGCCCAATTGTTGAGCTTCAGTCCTTGTTCTCCTGTGGCTTTGGAATATGAGGGGACAGGGCAAGTGAGAGCCCTGTCAGCTGTCAGAGCTGTCCCCTCCCACTTAACAGCAGAGTTGCAAATTCCCGGTGAGAAACCTCACCCAAATCAATTGCACTGGCTCAGCTTTTGAAAGAACCCACACCTGAGAAGTGTGAATGTGTTGTAAAGGTTTTGCAGGGCTCTGCTTAGATTTACAACTCCTAGTGTGGATTATTTGGGAGTAGCCAGGAATGGGCACCTGTGCCAGGAGCATTTCACCTGCTGCCATCACAGAGCACAAATCCCACTCGTGTCCCACTTCAATCTGCTTTGTACAGTGGTGTTTCAGTGCCCAGATTTTATGCTGTTGCTCAGCTCAGAAGTTTTGTATTTCCTTCTCTCCTCATGCCACAGTTGACCCTGAAACTGTCACAGTGACTTATGGCACTGCTTTGGAGTGGGAACGAACTCTTCCTACTTCTGTCACTGAAGCCATGTATTCCTACAGTACCTATAAACCAGCAGCACTCCCAGGAGCTTCACAGTCCATATTAATGTCACAACATCAGTGTTGTAGGTCTCATCACCAATCCATATTTATGTCACAACATCAGTGTTGTAGGTCTCATCACCTTTACAGCTTTATGGGCTGGAGAACCTATCAGTACATGAAAAAGATGAAATACGTCAATGTGCAATCCCTAAGCAAACACAAACATAAACAGAAAGGTCAGATTTTTAAACTCACTGCAGATAAAGAGATGACAGCCATGGATCAGGATTCAGTTCAGATTTACACCCCTGTGTCCCAGGAACCTGCCCTGAATCCAGCATGTGATTGCTGGTGTGATTGCTGCATCACACAGACCTGCAGCAGGTCTTGGTCCAGATATCACTGTGCTTCCCAGCACTTCACCCTCCTCACAGTCTGAGTAGTAACACATTGGAAGTGTTCCAGATCAGCTTGGAGCAACCTGCTCTAGTGGAAAGTGCCCCTGCCCATGGTAGGGCTGCAACAGGATAAGTTTTAAGGTCCCTTCTGACCCAATCTGTTCTGGAACTCTTTGATTCCACATGGCAACAGGATTTATTCCCACTCTTCTCTGCCTCCAGGGGGGACTGGCTGCTGAGCTTTGTTTACAGAACCTCCTCTGTCCAGCTCAACGTGGCAGGCCTCCAGCCAGTCGACCTGGATGACAGGAGGATGGTGAACGTGGACCTTTCCTCTGTGGTAAGTTCTCATATTCTCAGTTTTTGTCCATCATTCTTTGCCTGCAGCACTGTAACCCCACACTCACTTCACTGGGGAAGCTGGGGACTGAAGAGAGCACCTCTAGCTACACTGTCCCTCTTTCCTGTCTTTGGGAGAACTCTTTTCCACACTTCCCTCTGGATTTTGTTGGCCCATCTAGCACTCAACACTGAGCAAATCTAGTAGAGACAATCTGCCTCTCCTCTTGGATATGTTTGGGGTTTTTTTGGTTCTGACATACCTCATGGTGGAAATACAATTACTCCTCTAGAAGGGCCTTGCTGTCATAGGATGATGGAATGGTTTGGGTTGGAAGGAGCCCAGTCCCAAGCCCCGTGAGTGTGGATCACCATGTGAGGTGGGATCAGCAGCTGGGAAACGTGGATCTCAAACACGCGCCCGCACGGCGGGTGCAGCCCGTTATCTTATCTTGGTGGAGCCTTCCACACTGCTCAGGTTCAGCCAGGGGCAGGCTCCTGGCCCTTGTACCTTGGTCCCCAGGGCTGCAGGAGGAACTGGTTTGGAATTACAGAAGCTCTGTGACAGCAATGGTTGGTTTGCCAGGTCCTGCTCCCTTTTTGGAGTGCGTGTCTCCAGGAAATGGGGAGAGATTGGCTGGTATAGCTGGAAAACATTCAGCTTCCTCAAAGCTGTCATTAGTGATAAGCCACTGTTAGAACAGCTGGCAATATATCTAAGCAATATTCAGCTCAATTATCTTAAACTCATCACCACATTGCTGTTTCTTCCACAGAAAACTTATCTTGTATATCCATTTCCACAGAAATCTTGGGCATGCCTTTGTGTTTATTCCATATCTTAATGTTTTAATTTATTGTTTGCTCTCTGCAAACTGGAAGATGCCCAGCACAAAGCTCAGGATTATTCCATGGTCAACATTCCTGCTGTGATTCTTCCTCCCAAGTGTCCCCACAAGCTGGCAGGGACTGTCAGTGTTGCTCTGGAGCTAAAGGCACTTTGAAGAGCTTTTAGATTTTCTGGAGCACCAGCTTGCTGATCCTATAAATATCCAAGTGTTCTCAGCTCATTTCATTCATGCTAGCTGAGCTGTGCACAGCCCTTGGCAGCACACACAGGGCTTGGTGCTGAGCAGAGAGAACAGACACTTGGAGAAACAAAACAGGAGCTTCCCAGGAGGAAGGGCTTTAGTGGAGGTTTTAAAACATGGTCCATGCATCTTTGCATCTCTTTGGGTTGTCAGCATTTCCACACACTCCCACATCTATTTTCTCACCGGCCCAGAGCTGCCAGTACTCATTTGCTCTCTGACATCTGTTGCTGGAATGAAAATGGTCCAAGATGCCAAGTGGCAGCACGGGGGTGATGTTTGCTGTCAGTCAGTCCATGTCACCCCTCTCTTTCTGAGCTCTCTTCAGAGACCCTCCTTCTCATGACCCTCTGCTTCCTGGAAGCATGAACCCCCCCCAGAAAAACCCTGCACACTTTATCCTGCCTGGATCACAGCAGCCTCTCCCCTCCCCTCAGAGGAGCAGCATTTGCATTTCAGCTGGATGAATAAGGTTTGCAGAGCTGCTCTCTGCACATCTCCCAAGGCTGTGTGTCTGCATCCTGGCTGCCTGCTGTCAGTCCCAGAGCTGCTCTCCTTCAGAAGGAATTGACACTTCCTTCATCTCACTGCAAAGCTTTGGGGAGGAAAAATGTATGTTAAGTAGGTGTCATTGCCTTGATCCATTTTCCAGACCACGGGAAGAAATACAGTGCATTCTGGTGAACATTTTAGAAATAAAAGGAGCAAGAATGGGGAAGGAAATATCCAGGGGCAATATTTTTTTAAAGTGGCAAGAAAGCAAAGATGGATTTTTCTGCAAGTCCAGTGCAGTAGCATAACAGAAAAATACCTAGTGATATTTAGAGATATATAGAGCTACAGGTATCTACTTTATGGAGACCAGCTCCACCCCTGCAGATGCCCTTGCTGGAGATCCCTGTGAGTGTCCTGCCAGGAGAAGGACAAGCTGTGATAGAAGAATAAAGAATAGCTGATGCAAAGGTGCTCAGCATGAAAACACTGCAAAGGCACCCATCAGTATTTTTGGCATCTCCTGGTCCATCCATAATGACAACTGGTCTGGATCCAAACAGCTTGGTTCTCTTTGCTGTGGTAACACCAGAATCCTCAAATGAGTGAAGGATTAGGAGCCCTCAGTATAAACAGGAGTTCACCTCCAAGGCCTCTGTCTCATGTCTCTCTCGATTAGTGTGTTTTTTATCTGACTGTCAGTGAAAAAGCAGAGAGAAAAACGTCCTCCCACTCAGCAAAGGCAGTTATAAAATCCTTCCTCATGGTTACAAAGAGGCTGATTTATTCTGTGGATTTATTTGACAGCACCTGTTAGAGACCAAGGAAGTGGTGGAGCTGCAGGGGATTATCCTGATTGCTGTTTGTTCCCGGGGGAATTTGTTCAGTGCAGTCAGAATTAATATTTGAATATTGCAGGACCGCTCAAGGAGCACCATCAGGGAGGCTCAGGAGTCAGCAACAGGTCAGGAATGTTTCACAGCAGCAGAAATCAGGGATGAACTTGCAGGGTTAGAGGCAATGTGTGGCTGAAAGTCCAGTGGAGAGCAGGGATGGATTTTAGAATCATGGAATTGGGGAGAGGGGAAAAGCTCTCAAGAGACCATTGAGGCAAATTGTTCCCCCAGCACTGCCAAGGCCACCTCTAACCCATGTCCCCAAGGGCCACATCCACACAGCTTTTAAATCCCTCCCAGGAAGGGAATTCCATCCTTGCCCTGTGCCAGGGCTGAGCAGCCCTTTCCATGGAGAAATTTTCTCTCATATCCAATCTAAATGTCCTCTTAGACCTCCAGAATTTGATTCCTCCATTTGCTTCCTGGGTTTTCTTGTTATATTCTGTATTTTACTCCTCTCCATCTTCCTCTTGGAATTGCTGGAGGTAAATTGAGTGTAAAGCTGGCAGAGGTTTTCAGCAGTGGATGAATCCAGCAAAAGCCAGTGATTGTTCAGAATTTTCAACACAAAACATATCAAAGTTTGATGGGAAAAAAAAGTCTTGGAAAAAGCTCTTTCCTTGGTGTGGAATTGCCTGAGGGTGTCTGAGGGGAACATCCCTCAATTACCACCCCAGAGGTGACAATGACTGGATCAATCTGTTGTGGCTGAAAGATGATTGCAGGAAAAAAAATTACAGTCTGGCTCAAAAAATATCACTGCAATGAAAAGAGATCTTTTACCAGTCAAGTGAGTTTTGAAATGAGCAGAAAAATAAGAATTGAGTGCTTTATTCTGTCCACGAGGATTGTGATTGTGCAAAGGGATGATGTGAAAGCAAAGCCTCTGAGCCTCAGCAGAATAAATCTATTCCATCAATTTGTCAGAGCAGAAATAGAAACATTAAAGAGGAATAATGCAAATGGCATTTTCAGGATTTCCAAAATAAATTCAACTCTGTCAGTTTTTCCTCAAATGTATTTTTATTGGTTTCTCAAGGACTTTCTGATGCCCAGGATTCACCACTGCTGCAGGTGCAAAATTCAAATTGATCAATCCATTCAATTGATGAACAGAATCATTTTTTTAATAAATCCATTTAAATTGCAAGTTATGAATTAGTGGATGCATTCACTGTCCTCACTTTGAGAGAAGGGACAGGACACAGGGAAAGGCTTCCACTGCTGGAGATCAGGGTTAGGTGGGATATTGGGAAGGAATTCCTGGCTGTGAGGATGGGGAGGGCTGGCACAGGGTGCCCAGAGCAGCTGTGGCTGCCCCTGGATCCCTGGAAGTGCCCAAGGCCAGGCTGGACAGAGCTTGGAGCAACCTGGGAATGTGGAAGGTGTCTCTGCCATGGCAAGGATGGAATTGGATCTTCAAACTCCCAGCCCAAACCATTCTGGGATTCTGTGGATGCTCTCTGTCATGCAGGATATAGCCAGAGTCAGAATTAAGGCTTTCACTGACATGTGGGGATATCTGTGACTGGAGGAGCCTGCCAGCTTGGCAGAGCTGACTGCATTTTGAGGGATAGCCTGGCAGAGTTTGGGAGCCCTGCAATCCATCAGCTGTGCCACCTCTTGGGCTGTGTGGAGGCAGCATCCACAAGTGAGGAGTTTTTGGAAAGCAGCAGCTTCTTCCCTTCCGCACCAACAGCTCCCAGACCCAGCAGCTGAGTTTGGGGCAGGGCTGGAGTGCAGTGCTTGTCCTGGACAACACATTCACTGTAACTCTGGGAAAGTGGAAACAGCAACACCCAGAGCTGGCTCTGCTGTTGGTTTCACTCTGTGTGTGACGCCTGGGGCAGGTGAGGGCTCCTGGGAGGTGAGCTGTGGTTATCCAGAACCTGCAGCTCGCTCCAGAAACTCCTTCACCCCCCATAAAATGCTATTTGCTGTGAAAACAGACAGTATTAGCCAAAAGGGAATCCTGAAGGATCCACTCCAAGGTTCTTGCTGCTCCTGCTGAAATAACCAAGCTCTGCAGAGATGTTTGAACTCCAGGGGATCTTTTGCTGAAGAATAAAGTTGATCTTTGGACTTGATGGGCTTAAAACACATGGAAGCAGTGAAATTCTCAGGTGTGTGAGTGACTGAGCATTCCCCACCACACTGCTTGCCTCCACAGTGATTCCCTGGGAATCCAGGGGTGTTTGGTGAGGGAGAGCAGGAGGGAAGCTGAGCAGAGCATTTGGAGCCACGTGCACTCCTGTGTTGGCTCGGGATGGGTGGAGGAGCTGTTATTGAAGGACACTGGATGGGATCTGAAGGTTCTTGGCTCTGGACTGAGCAGTGAAGTGTTATCTTGCTGTGTTGAGCTTGTCCCTGTGACATCAGTGCTGTGCCTGAGCCCATGGCAGAGCCAGGATTTTGGGGAATGTCTCCTTTCTCCTGGCCCTTTCCCTGCCCTCCCTGCTCCAGGACGTGCTCCTGGGGGTCAAACCAGAGAGAAGCCAGGAATCTTAATCCTCTGTGTCCAACAGAAACACTTCCCTGGCAGTTTAATCATCACAACTGATTATGCTCAGTGACATTTTTGATACTTTGGGGTGGATTTGGACTTGGAAACCTTTCCAAACCTGCTGAGCTGATGGGCTGATGGATCCCCCTGGGCAAAAGCCATCAGCTTTGTCCTCTGGAGATCACCTGGCATGGCCCTGGAACCAGAGGCAGCTGGCTCGTGGCTCCCAGTGAGTCAAAGCAATCATAAAGTCAAATATGGCTGGGAGAAGTCACCTAAACAATCCAAATAAACCCACCCCACTGCTTTCCTTACAACAAGCAGAAATGTATTTACTCTGGTGCTGAGCGCACTCTTCCTTTTATCCTAAATTCCCCCTTGCACTTTGTTCCAACAAATATTAAAACAGTGCTTTATTTCCCTTTAAAGTTTTTATTGACAACGTTGTGGATGTTCCCCTCCCATCTCCAGCACCATCTGCCCAGCAGAGGAATTCAGGCTTTCAGGCTGAAGATGAAAACAGGCTTTAGAGAGCTGGAATGGCTGGGTTTTCCCACCAGGATGGCTTTAAAGTGGCAAGGCAGTTTGTTTGCTGTTCTTTTGCTGGTGGCTCAGTGCAGCAGAGTCCTCCCTCCCTCCTTTTATATTTCTCAGGGGCTGCTCTGGTCCAGTTTTTATGGAATCCTCTCCTCTAGAGAAAGGAGTGAGTTTCCTTGGAAGAGTGAGCAGAGCTGCAGGAGGCACAGCTCTCTCACAAGGTCTCAGCTTCTCTTTCAGCTGCATGAGCTGCTCAGAATGGCTCACACCCTGCCTCTCCCAGGGATTGTGGTGCTCAGGGAAGAGGAATTCCCTGTTGTTTTAGTGGAAGCTGCTGGATACTGAGGAGTAATGAAAATCAGTCCTTAGGGTGGCAAAGGAAATTTGTTCTCTCTGACTAATGACTCAGTAACAACAGGCTGAGAATTCCCAAGGCAGGGCAGGCAGATGGTGTGACTGGAGAGGTTCTGAATGCAGCAAACCAGGAGCCTTCAGCCCCTGCTCCCAGTGACTCCAGTTCCTTCCTCTCTCTACCCACCTGGCCCAAGGCTGTGCTCATTCCTTCCTGCAGCCCCTCTGGCTGAGCAGTCCTCCTTTTCCAGAGGACAATGTCCACAGCTCCCAGTCCTTCCATGGTTATTTTAATTAACTAATCTGTTCAAAACACCCAGAGCCCGTTGAGCCATCTGGACAGATTGAAGTCACATATTTGTATTCCTGACGTGCTGATTAAATCCTTCTGTTTGCTCCCAGCCCTCAGTGCAGCCAAATGTGCCCTTCCAAAGCTGCTTCACACAAACAGCTTGGGGGGGTTGGATTTGTGGAGAAAAGGTTTTCTTTAGCTTTGGGAGAGGTGTGCTGGGATCCCTGGTGCTGGCATGAATCCCACAGAATGGTTTGGGTTGGGAGGGACCTTAAAGCCCATCCAGTGCCACCCCCTGCCATGGCAGGGACATCTTTCACTACCCCAGATTGCTCCAAGCCCTGTCCAGCCTGGCCTTGGACACTTCCAGGGATCCAGGGGCAGCTGAAGGATTGCTCTGGCACCAGGCAGGAGCAAGCAGGAGATGAGCAGAGGGTGCAGGGCTGGGATCTTTACAGAGCTCTTACCATCACCTCCCTTGTCTGAGGAGCAGGAATCCTGGCACTGAGGTTATGGGCATTCCCTGCCACACAAATTCCCTAATTACCAGCAAGGTTTGGGAAAATAAAAGGCCAGGACAGCTCTCTGGCTGGCTCAGGAAGATTTAAACAGCTAAAAATTGGATTTACCAGAGATGATGGAGTATCTGGGGATGCTGTTGGTGCATCAAACGCTCGGGACACCTGGAATGGGGAAGGAATTTCAGCCTCCCCAGCCACGTGGCCTTTAGCATCAGGAACAATCACCTGCAGAGGAGATTTCCTCTCCTCCTGTGCCCTGATTGGAAGGGAACTTTACAATATCCATCTCAGAAGGGGTTATCTTCTTGTGGAATTCATCTTACAATAAAACTGTCTGGGTTTTTATGTGTACTGTTGACTTTATTTGGTTTATGAAGCCATAACTCCTGCGCTCCCGGTTTTATACAGGGAGGGATGGATCAGTGCAGCTTCCAGCCAAGAATCTCAGCTTGGGAGCTGTGTGAGGCTTAATGACTCTGTCCTAATTTAAATAAGATGATCCTGGCTTTTACAAGGGAGCTGAGGCACCTGGAGGACACCTTTAGCAAGAGCAGGCAACTGAACTAAGAGAGCTCTCCTGCCTGGGTGTCTCTCCCCATGGCAGAGCTCCTCCTTTAGCCTTTTGGCACCCAGGATTTTTGGGGTGGAACTCAGCCAGGCCCAGGCTTTTAAACATCTCAGAGGAAAACTCATCCAGCACCAGAGCATGCCCCAAACACTGCAGCCACTTCAGGCTGCTCGATGGACACCTGCACTTACCCACTGGTGGAATCATCACTCCTGGAAGTGTTCACAAAACAGGTGAATGTGGCACTTGGGGACATGGGTTAGTGGTGGCCTCAGCATGATGGACTTGGTGATCATAAACAACTTTTCCAACCTTAACCATTCCATGATTCTGTGCTTTTTTTTCTCCAACCTCATTTTTTCCATCTGTCAGAGGCAAACCCAAGGCAGTGGTGGCTGTTGGGATGAAGGATTTGGCTGAGCTGAATCCCTGTGGGTTCTCCACTCACAGGATTCTTCTTCCCTGCAGGTAAACGGCCACCTGGACTACATGAAGCAGATGGACACCATCCTGAAAGCCGTGGGCATTAAAACCAAGGAATTCCAGCCCATAGAGAAGGGCAGTGGCAGTCGGTTTTCCCCTCAAGCCAAGAAATCCCAGCGGGCAGCTGGCAGCAAGGCTCAGGGAGAGGAAAACACCAGGAAAGAGGAGGATGAGGCTGGGGGTGAGGCTCTCCCAGCCAGCTGCACTCACAGACAGAATTCCTCCAGCTCTGCCCTGGGAGAGCCCTCACCTCCCTGCCCAGACTGCTCACACAGCACGGACAGCGAGGAGCAGGCAGCGGGGAAAGGAGAAAACCAGAGCAGAGCTGCTCAGCCGGCACAAAAACCGCTGTCAGCACATCCGTGGCACTGAGATTCCCAGAGGATGGAGCTGCTGGAGCTGCAGTTTCCAGCCCCTCCAGAGGAGAGTGTGGCACTGGATCAAAGCCACCCACGGCACCTCCCCGAGGCGAGAGAGGGCTGATTCCTGCCGGAGTCTGCCCTGCTCCTCAGGAATCCTCGACAGATCCCATCCAAATCCCTGCAGGAAGCAGCTGCACCCCTCGGCACCGTGTCCCTGCTGTGGCTGGGGGGAGCAGGTGGCTCTGAGGCGATTTTAGGCGTTTCACAGAGAGGGGTTAGTTGCTAGAAAACATTTTTCCACTGGAGATGAGTTTGGTTTGAGGATCTCAGGTGTGTTCCGAGCTCTGCCTGCCCCACTCTGGATGGATCCACATCTGCTCTCCGGCTCTGCTGACCAGGAGGGGAAAGGCTTGGGCTGCCAGGCTTCCTTCCCCTGCCTGCTGCAGGTTTGCTGCCAGGGCTCTTTCTCGTCTCCAAGATTATTTCTCTGTCTCCAGGCTGTGGTGTTGGAGGCCCTTTTCCTGTTAGAAACATGTTTGGGATCCTGGGTGAAAGTGGCAGGAAAACCGAGGAGGTTTTGGATGGTTTATGAAAATTCCTCTCAGGCTCTCCAAGCCAGCAACCCACTGAGACTTGGCTTTTGTGTCCCACAGACATCTCCAGCCTTAAAAGCCCCATCCAGACATAATTTTAATTGGCTTAGAACTAAACCAGTGCTTGGCACAGGATGAACACGGATCTGTTTGATTTCTACCTCCTTCCAGAAAAGTGAATTTGCTCCACTCTCTTCATCCCCAGTCTCAGAGTAGAGGGAAGGACCCAGCTCTACATCCCCTGCCAGCACAGCTCCAGAATCTTGTGGGAATGATCCACATCTTCCATAAAATCCCCTTTTCTGGCCTGTTTTGCTGCTGAGCCCAGGCAAGTGCATCTGGCAGGAGTGTGGCAGGTGGGTAACCCTCCTCTGGGGGTTTTATGCTTTGCCACAAGGGAGGGTTCAAACTCTCCCACCCCCATCTGGGGGATCCTGTTGACTCATGAGAGGGGAAATATTGGGATTGAACCTTCCAGTTTGGGTTCACACAGGGTTCTCCTCCTCCTCCTCCTCCCCCCCACTGACCCAGCAGCCACGTTAATCCCCCCTCTCCCTCCATTCCCAGTTTCCTGCAAACCTTACCTGCAGATCACTCCTCGTGGAGTCAGACAGGGTTTGGGGGTGATGCTGTGACTCAGCAGAGCACCATGGTTTGGTTACAGTGTCCTCTCCCCAAATCCATCATCCCAGGGGGCTCAGACCTGCCCAGCTCTGAGCTGGTGCCTCTCTGCGGGGACCAGAGGGACTGGCTGTGGGATCCCACAGGGATGGGGCTGTTTTTCCTGCTGCTGTTGGTGCCACTGGCTGCAGAGGTGGGATGAGATTCTCTGCTCATCTCAGGGTTTGTCCACAATACACAGAACTGCCTGAGACAGTAAGGAATTATTGCTTTTGAATGTTTGGCTTGAAGAGGCGACCCTCTCTCTCTGTCCATCTCCGGAGGCTGATTTGGTACCTAACAAACTCCACAGAGCCTTTTTCAACTCCTTTTCAACCCAGGTTGTAGTCCAAGCTTGTATTTATATAAAACCACTGTGGGAGGATGCACATCTTGATCTGGGTGCTCAACACCAGCCCCAAGCTCCAAGTGCATGGAGCAGTTTGAGGTTTGAGTCCTCAGTCACTCATCCCTGGCTCCCAAGGGATTTGTGGCAAAGAAATGCTGGGTTGGTCGTACAAATTCCAGTTCTGGAACATCCATGGAAACAACAACAACATGGAAAGGAAACTGGAAGTGTTTCAGTTGAAGGTGTGTGGCTGCTTCTTCCAGCATCCCGTATCCAGGGGATGCTCTGTGTCTGTTTGGATGTCAGGGAGCTCCAGGAGAACAGTCTTGGAATTAGGCAGAAGGCTTGGAGTGAAGGGTCCAGGGAGGGCACAGCAGCCAACTGCCAGCCCAAAGGCACTTGAAGAAGAATTTCCTAAAAAAAATTTGTTTTATCGATTTTTTTTTTAATGCTCACTTGTCACATTTACTCAGCGTTCCCTCTGCTTATGGCTCTGGGGAGGGGGCTGGCATTGTCATTTAAAATATTCCTTTAGATTCTTACTTGAAGGGAGGAAAAAAAGTGTATTTTCTAATTGCATCCTCGAGGACGTGAGGAACTGTCGGAGGGAAGTGAGGTGGTCCTGTGCCAGGAGCGGGATGGAGCCTGTGGGAGGATCTGATCCCGTTACCACTGCGAGACAGCCACAGAGGCGCTGTGAGTGTCACCCCACACCCCCAGTGAACATCCAGAAATCAGTGTTGGACATTGTGCACCAAACTGAGCCCCCGCAGCGCAGCTCTGCGTGACGAGACACGGCGCTGTGCGACAGCAGCCTGAGACAGCCACGACTCCAGGGGTGAGATCCAGCAACAGGAGGACGTGGTGTAGCCCCAAAGCTCAGTGTTCCTGCTGGAGCAGCCCCAGAGCTCTTGTCCATGAAGATGTTTTTCCACCGCTTCCCTCGGTGCACTCAGAGATCTGTGCGTGCAAAACCAAGCCTTGGTTTGAGGTTAGGGCACCACAGAGTCTGGAATCTGAGGTTCAGGCTCACCAGAGGTGGAAAGGCCACGGGAAGGGTTCAGGAATGGTGGTGGTGAGCACAGGAGGGATGAAAAAGAGACAAGGCAGGTTAATTCAGCAGCAACACCTGGCTTGGCACGGTTTGATCCTCCTTGTGACAGTGCTCGGGGCCACCGTCCCCTCCCCGAGCTGCACCGCCTGCTGGAACAGGGAATCTGGGAGATGGCTCCCAAATCCCAGAGGGTTTGTGTTGGGCTCCTGGGGGATCCTTCCCAGCACACTGAGCTGTGTGTGCCACGCTCAGGCCACGGGGGTGCCGAGCTGCAGCTCCGCGTCCGCGGGCTCCGCATCCCAAAGGCCGATGGAGCGAGCTCCATGGCCCGGCCCGGCCGGGAGCAGCCTGGGCTCGCTCCCCACTGCCCCAGAGTCCACAGAGTCGGTGTCAGCCTGCAGGGTGAGCACGTTCTTGAGGGACATGGCAGCGCGGGGGCCGCTGTTGGAGTTCCTCATGGACAGGGAGATGGCGCTGGGCCGGGGCTCCGCCGAGCGCCGGCAGCAGGGCAGGAATTTGCCCATGGCTCTCTTGAAGTCCCTCATGAAGAGTGGGTAGATGATGGGGTTCATGGTGCTGTTGCAGTAACCCAGCCAGGTGAGCACATCGAAGAATCCAGCCGGGACACAGCCGCAAACTGCCTGGATGGGCACAGCAGGGATTAGCAGAAACCCAGCCCAGAGGGGTTTCCCCAGCACACCAACATCCCCCTTTCAAAGGAAACATTAAAATCCCATTTGAAGGGTTTTTTTCCTTGCTGTTGTTCCCTGGGGAATTGCATCCTTGGTCCCGGAGGTCCAGCAAGACCTTCTGGTGCCTCCAATTGAACCCAGCTGGATTCCAAAGCGAAAACTTCTGGAAACCCGACATAATTCCCCCCCAGGCTCTCACCTGTGCCACGTTGGTGACGAAGAAGGGCAGCCAGGCCACGAAGAACATGCCCAGGAGGATGCCCAGGGTCAGGCTGGCCTTCAGAGCCTTCTTGCTGTGCTTGTTGCTGAACCTCCTGCTCTCGCTGCCGGTCAGGGGCTGGCTCGGGGCGCGTGGGACCTGCGGCCGGAGACAGGGAGAGGTGGGCAACTCTCCCCACCACCAGCCTCTGCCCAAGAAAAGTGACATTTGGGGCTCCAGATCCTGCAAAAAACCCTGCCAGTGATTCCATTCTCCCAGGGGCAGCAGCTAGGCTCACACCGCAAGCCCTGAAGCACAAATTAGGAAGGGGAAGCAATAGAAAGCCTCAACACTGATTTTATTTCCTGTAAAAGAGGGTGTTTGTCATTAGGCTGCTCTTTAGAGAAAAACCCAGCTCAGTCCGTGCCCTAAGCAGGCAGCTCCAGCTGCTGATTACAGCAAAAAAAAACTAATCATGGTTTTAAAAGCAGGACATGAAATATTTCAGCCTCCAAACAGCACAACCCAGCCCTCCATCCCGTCCTGCAATCTAAAATTAAGTGATTATCTCAGCCCTCCCCTGTAATTAAATGATGCCCTGTTTCAACTCAGCTTCTGGCCCGAAAACAAATGAGAACAAAAATCTCTAAAATGAGACGAAGGTGAAAAAGGTTAAAAAATGAAATTTGAGGGTTCCCTGGCTGCCACCTTGTTCCTCAGCCAACTTGGGGCTTCAGGGAACCTTTTGGGCCTCAGCTGAATGACAGGGGGGATGGACGCTGCTTTTCCATGGCACTGCAAAGCCCTGAGCATCCCCTGACTCTGTGGAATCCAAAAACCTGGCATCCTGCGAGAAAATAAACACTTTATGATATTTTCTGTTTATTCTTTAATCCTCCTTTTCCTCTTGACCGTCTGCTGCAGCTCATCACGTGTGGGGGAGCTGGCCGGAGTCCTGGTTCTGCTCTCAGAAAGAACAAACTAAATCAAGGTATTTAAAGGCAATTAAGTTTGCCTTTTCCCTGTAGGATATGAGGTCAATAAAGCCTATTACAGGGAATTAAAGCTGTTAGATTTAGTGGCAATTACCTTCTCCTGGAGAAATACAAACAAGTGCAGCCACGTTTTTGTTATAAAACCCACACACTCCGGTTCCACCGGCGAGCGCACGAGGAGGGGTTTGGCAGCTCCTGTTATAGAGCAGGTAACAAAAATAGAAGCTTCTGTTCAAAATAAGGTGCTCTCGGGAATCTGGCATTTGCTATTAGTTAAAATCCTTCTCCCCCGTATGTCTCACACCCACCACGGCCAAGATTTACGAGTGGAAAGTCAGATAAGATTAAACCCCTCGGGGATGACGCCAGCCAAGAGGAGGGGGGTGAAACTGCGTTTATTTCGCACTGCTGAGCATTTTTGCCTGAATCTTATTTATTTCTCTGCTTCTGCTGACGGTATTTCTGTGCCTGTGAGCAGCTCTCAGAGCTCTCCGTTGCTGGGACAAGGCGTGGGACACCTCAGAGGATGTCAGGGAGGTGCATGGTGCCCAAAATCTCCCTCCCTGCGGTCGTCACATCCAACCCCGAGGCCATCCAGGAGGCAGAAACAGCCGAGGAACCCGAACCGTGGGCTCTGCCCCTGAGGGAACCTTACCTGTGGGGTGGCCTCATCAGTGGTGGCCACGTTGGAGGTGAGGGAAGCCACCTGCACGGCCTGCTTGCGCGCCGCCAGCAGGATGCGGCAGTAGGTGAAGGAGATGGCGGTGGACGGCAGGAAGAAGGTGAGGCAGGAGGCCACCAGGGCGTAGGGCAGACTGACCAGCAGCCGGCACTGATCCTCATCCCCCGGCCCCGTGACGTTCAGGGGCCGCACCTCAAACTCCAGCTCGTGCCACCCCATCTTGATGGGCAGGAAGGAGGCCAGCGCTGCCAAGCTCCAGGTGGCCAGGATGAGCGCCAGGGCCCTGCAGGACGTCATGCGCAGCTTGTACCTGAGCGGGGACGTGATGAGCAGGTAGCGGTCCAGGCTGATGACACACAGGTTGAGGATGGAGGCGCTGCAGCACATGACGTCAAAGGAGGCCCAGAGGGAGCAGAAGTCCCCCCTGAGCACCCAGCGGCCGTAGAGCTGGTTGAGCATGGCCGGGGGCATCACCACCAGCCCCACCATCAGGTCCGACATGAAGAGGGACACCAGGAAATAGTTGGAGGTGTTGCGGAGGGAGCGCTGGGTGACGATGAGGAGGATGAGGAGGAAGTTGCCCGCCGTGGTCAGCAGGATGATGAAGCAGAGGAAAGCGGCCACCCAGCTGCTGCCCACCAGCAGGGAGTGCTCCCCCAGCACGCTGGCATTGGGGGCCCCCAGGTCCCCCTCCATGAGGAGCCGGGGGCAGGGCTGGCTCTGGGGCTGGGGACCTTCTCCGGCGTGGCCTGTGCTACGTGATCATCCCTGGGGATGGAGGAGGATCATCTCTCTCCTCTCTGGGTCCGTCCTCCCTCCTCCTCTCCTCCTCCTCTCCCTCTCTTCCCCCACTCTGGCTCTTCAGTGGCACTCGGGGCAGAGTGACATTCCCAGGAGCCGATCAGCAGGACCGAGCTCCCCTCCCCTTTACTCACAGCAGTTCCTCGTGCCTGTAAATCCCCCTGCTCTGGGATGTCCCTGGATGCTGCTCCTGGAGCCTGGGGACGAGCTGGATGGCAGCGTTCTCAAGATGCCAGGATGCTCTGGACGCACTGGAGCAGGGAATAACACAACACCGAGATGCTCTGGATGCTCTGCACTCAGGATACTTCAGCTGCTGGGGGTGCTCTGCATCCCAGCATATTCCAGATGCCAGGATCCCCTGGACGCTGGGGATGCTCTGGACTCCAGGATGCTCCGGCCCCCCGAGGCTCAGCTGTCACCCCCGAGCTGAGCCGGGTTCCCTGCAGAGCTCTGTCCCGGGCTGCCAGAGCTGCTCCGTGCAGCCTCAGGCGAGGAGCGGGATGCTCCCAGGCGAGCCCGGCCGGGAGGAGGAAGATGCGGAGTGTGGAAGGGATGTCTCCAGCGGCAGAGGAGCGTCCAGCCCGCAGGGAGGTGTGAGAGTGGGTGTGTGCAGGTGCCAGCCCGACTTTCACCTGCTGCTGGGGATGCACACAAAGGATGCAGAAATGCCGATCCAGGAGGTGGGGCTGGGGGGGGAGAGGAGGAGATGAAATGAAGCGCTAATGAAAACAGGGATCGGGGCTAAACTCCACAAAGTGGCAGCCAGAGAGTTCCCGTTTCTGCCTTAAAGAGACAGCCCCGTGCTCTGCCATCCTTCCCATCCCTGCCATCCCTGCCATCCCTCCCATCCCTGCCATCCCTGCCTGGAGGCACCTGGCACCTGGGCCAGCAGGTCAGGGGCCAAACCCGGCCGCCAGCTCTGAGTTCCAGGCTCCATCTTCCACACTGGGCTATAAAAAGCAAAATTTTGCTAAGTCAAACCAAATAAACAACCAGCAGCTGCACACAACAGCCCTCAGGAAGCAGGCAGAGGACTCGCTGGAAGATATTCCAGCAGTGATTCCTGCAGCCAGGGATGGAGGAGCAGAGACGAGGGGGAGCCTGGCCTCTCTGCTCCAGGGTTATTTGGAGTGGCCTCGGGGCAGCCCAGCTCCTTCCCTTCCTCCCTGCAATCCTGGATGGAGCCACAGCAACCTGCCCTGAGAGGAGCCAGCTCAGCAAACCCTGCTGAGTGTCTGTGCTGCTGGGAATTCCACACCTCCACACTCGGGGCAAACACCTCAGGCTGCTGGGCAGGGACTGCTTGGGGTTTTTTAATGACCCAACTGCCCAAAAGTGGGATTTTCCCAACAAATGGCTGCGATGTGTGTTGGGGGAGACCAGGGTTGAGGGCAGTGGCTCCAGCAGAGTCCTGAGAGCTGAGGGTGTGCCCCTGGCACCCACCCTGTGTCCCCAGGGCCAGGCACAGGCAGCTGCTGCCCGTTCCTCCCTAAAGCTTTCCTTGACACTCCCCTGGGAAGCTGTGCTGCAGATGTGTGGGTGAGAGCCAGATGTGCACCCACCCCGGGACAGAAATCAGCCTCTTCACCAAGTCCTCCTTTTCCAATCACCTCTCCAACAAATTTGTTGTGTTTGTTTTGTTTTTTTTCCAGCTGCTGAATGGGCATTCCAGGCCTGGAAATAATTTCTGAGTAAGGGATGGGGAGGTGGGAGGCAGGGACCCAAACAGACGGGGTTATCCCGCTGGGATCTCCGTGCCAGGCTGCCACTGGGAAACAGCCACTGCCACTTGTGCCAGGACAGGCTCTGCCCTCCCTCTGCTTCCCCAGGATCCTCTCCTTGGATGCTCCCAGCCAAACCTCCCTGGCCACCCCGCTGTCACAGGGCTGCACACACACATGCCAGGCTCTGATTGCAGCAGGAGGTTTCCTTAGAAAAGCTTTTCCCCCCAGGAAAACCTCACTTCCCTCCTCCTCCTTTCCCCAGCAGAGGGAAACCCCACCCCGAGCCCACCCTGAGCAGCCTCCCCAGGCAGGAAAAGTGAAGAGAGCAGCACAGATTTCTCCCAGCTGGATCCACAGTGAGGAAGTGATGGCACAGTGCAAAGCCAGCCTTCCTTCTCATCCCAGCATTGGGAACATCCCAGTTTGTCTCCGGAGCTTTTGCTTCTGGGAAGGAGATTGGATCAGAGTCATGGAGTCGTGGAATGGTTTGGGTGTGAAAGCTCATCCCATTCCCAACTCCTTCCTTTACCCCAGCTTGTTCCAACCTGGCCTTGGGCACTTCCAGGGATTCCAGCTTCTCTGGGCAGCCTCTTCCCAACATCCACAGCTCATCCTCCACGCATGGGAGGTTTTGGTTTGGAGGTGTTTGCTGGGGAAGGGAATCTGAACTGATTGAAGCAAAATGGGTTTTTAAAAAACCTGCCTTGAAATGAAGACCAAATCCTACCATTGTCCCTGCAAAAGCCTCTCCATGCCAGCAGCTGTCCTGGCTGTCTCCCTGTGCTGAGTTTCTGGACACATCTGCAGGGATCATGGACTCCACCAGCTCTGCTCTCCAGCACCACTAGCAGGGAAAGCAAAACCAGGTTGTCAACAGCCACCCAAGCATCAACACGGCAAAACAAAAAAATATTGAGGCAGAGAAAGTCAAACTGGGAGCTGAGAGATTTCGGTGAGGACATCCCGGCAGCCCAGGGTGTAACACAGCGATGTCCAACAGCGCAAGGCACTCTCGGGATGTCCTTCCTTGGGTGTGAATTTGGGCAGAGCCTGGCTAACTACATCGAGTTCTGGTTTCATCTGCACACCTCCACTGCCTGCCCCTGCTGCAGCTCAGCTTGTGTGGAACAGACTCCAAACACCTTGAAGTGCAGCTCCTGGGGTTTACAGGAGCAGCCCCCTGCTAAATCCAGCCTGTTTCCTCTGTAAAAGGGCCCCTTGATGGTGCTCAGTGACCACCAGGGGTTTCTCCACCTTTTCCTGGCTCTCAGGTAAAGCTCCTTTCCTTGACAGACACTTCACAGCCCAAAATCATCGCAGTGACCCACAGAGCACCTCCAGCCTTGCCAGGCCCTCCCTGCTGATCCATCCCCTTTGCTGTGGCGATTGCTGCCTCCGTGCAGAGCCTGTCCCACCTCCCGAGCACAGAGCTGCTCTCCAGCCTGTGCAGAGTCCCCAGAGCCTCACGGAGAGGGCACTGAGCCAGCACAGCCTCTGACCCCTCCCGGAGCTGATGGACCCTCCCCAGGGTCAGAGCCAGCCCAAGGAGCATCACTGATGGTTCCCACGCTGCCCTGCCATCACTGGGACCAGAGGTTTGCAGGGGCACCTCCAACGCCTGATCCAAACATTCTCGGGAAGAACCCGCTGGTCCCAGCCCTTCCTCCCCGCCAAGGGATGTCCCTCCTGTCCGAGTTCACGTTCCAGAGCATTCCCGGGGGCCGTGAGCGTGTGGGTACCGAGGAACACGCCGGACCAAGACTGTCACCTAGTGGCAACAGCGCCAGAGGTGGCGTGATGGCAGAGCTCCCACAGACCCCAGAGATCCCACAGATCCCACAGACCCCACAGATCCCACAGACCCCACAGATCCCACAGATCCCAGAGATCCCACAGACCCCAGAGATCCCAGAGCTCCCACAGATCCCAGAGATCCCAGAGATCCCACAGCTCCCAGAGATCCCAGAGACCCCAGAGATCCCACAGATCCCACAGCTCCCAGAGATCCCACAGATCCCAGAGATCCCACAGACCCCAGAGATCCCAGAGCTCCCACAGACCCCAGAGATCCCACAGATCCCAGTTTCCACAGATCCCAGAGATCCCACAGATCCCAGAGCTCCCAGAGATCCCACAGATCCCAGAGATCCCACAGCTCCCACAGACCCCACGGTTCCCACAGCTCCCACAGACCCCACACCAGTGGGACCCTCCACAGCTGCCGTGCAGGCTCCCCAGGCCACCTGCAGCCCCCACGTTCAGTATTTGGGCTGGGTTTTCCTTCCAGCAGCTCTCTCTCCTCCTTTTCCCAGCTGGAATGCAGCGGAAAGCTGCTGGAGCCACGGCTCTCCCTGCCCTGGGCCCTGTCCTGGTGTCAGCACTGCCAGAAACCAGACAGGCATCAGAGCACTGAGCAGTGGAAGTCACAACTAATTTATTTAAGGAAAAAAAAACCCAAAAAAACCCAAAACTTGTCAAAAGGAGGGAGAGGCATCGATTACAAGCTCTGGAAGCTCTTGTCAGACAATGCCAAGGAATCAGCTTTGTACAACGGAGAGAGAGGGGCAGCAGAGGCCGTGCCCACCCCGACCCCCAGGGACGTTCCAGCCCTCAGCCCCCTTCTCCCTCCACCGCCGTGGAAGTGCAGCAGGGAGAGGGGGAACGGGGTGGAACCTCCCCCAGATCATCCCCCGGCTCTTGGCCTTCCCCTGCAGCCCCAAAACGTGAAACCCCAGCGCTCGTGGTCCCAGTCCCTTGTCCCCGTGGTGGCCCTGGGGACAGCGAGGGTTGTCACCAGCATGCCTCCACACTTACAGCCCCAGAGACACATCCTGGGGAAAAACCCTCCCCAGGCACCACCTGGCACAAAGGCTTGGGGTTGGACCAAGATCCCACCACCCCAGGAGAGATGTGGATCCCTGGTGGGGCTCTGGAGAGGCTGATCCCCTTCTTCCTCCACCCTGGGCACGAGGAAAAGCCAGCAGAGCTCCACGGAGAGCCCAGCCCAGCCCCTGGTGCCGCTCCTCTCAATATATTATAATTATTATGTGCAATTAGTTTTGCATCAGGAGAGGCCCCGCGCTGTCGGGGGGCGACGCGAGGGCAGCGATTCGACAGGAAAGACTCCAGCACTCCCTTCCCTCCCCAGAACCCGGCCCTCGCCCAGCCCTGCCGGGACAGTCCACACGGGCCGGGTCACTCCTCGGCCTCCTCCTCGTGCTGCTGGTGGCTGGAGGCCGGCGGCTCCTCCATCTCCTGGGGGTAGTGGTGGGGCCCCTGGTGGGGCGCGTTCTCCTCAGCGTTCAGGTACACGTTGAACAGAGCTCCCTCGTGGCTCGGCTCCTTCCCACAGGCCTGGCAGCTGCAGTGCAGGATCTTCTCCACCAGCTTGTCCACCCTGGGGATGTCCTCGTTGCCTGGGCAGTCCAGTGTCACCTGGGCGGCGGGATGAGGACACAGAGGGTCAGTGCTCAGGTTCCTGAGGGTCAGTGCTCAGGTTCCTGAGGGTCAGTGCTCGGGTTCCTGAGGGTCAGTGCTCAGGTTCCTGAGGGTCAGTGCTCAGGTTCCTGAGGGTCAGTGCTTGGTTCCTGAGGGTCAGTGCTCGGGTTGCTGAGGGTCAGTGCTTGGGTTCCTGTGGTGCTGGGAGGTCTGACCTGCCCCAGAGCCTGCAGATTTGGGGTGTTTTAGGCCAGATGTGATGGGTTTCTATCCAGAGAAATAAACCCCCCCGGTCAGTCTGCAAGCTGGGAGTTGTCTGGGAATGTCTCCTTCCAGAAACTCAGGGAAAATCACAGAATCATCAAGGCTGGAAGGGACCCTCAAGCTCATCAAGTCAAACCATCAGCACCACCACAGTCACCTCGAAACCACGGAATCACTGAATCATTAGGATTGGAAAAAACCTCCAAAACCATCAAATCCAACCCATGACCCATCCCCACCGTGTCACCCAGCCTGGAGCACTGAGAGTCATTCCTTGGGACAGGGACTCCACCGCCTCCTTGAGGAACTGTTTTCCAAAACCTGACCACCTTTTCAGTCAATTCTTTTTTCCTTATATTTAACCTGAACCTCCCTTGGTGTTTCCTCTCCTCCTTTCACCTGAGAAGAGACCGACCCCACCTCACTCCCAGCTCCTTTCAGCACGGACTCCAGCAGGACACAGCTCCTATCGGAGACAGCAAAGGCCACCCACGAGAGCTGCTGAGCAGCCCGGTTTGGAATAAACCCTCTCATCAAATGAGAGCTGAGCCAGTTCCCTGCGCTCCTCTGGGATTTAGGGTTATGGGTCAGAGGTGACACGGAGCTGTGAGGTCTAAGGATGGACATCAAACACAGCCAGATCTCCCAAGGGCTGACAGTGGAGAGAGCAGTGGATCAGCACAGGGATAAATAATGCAGGGAACGACAGGGGATGGTTCTGGAAACAGAGGGATAACGGCTCCTTCCACCCAGGCACCTCAAAACACCTGAGGGACGCCCTGGAAGGAAACTGTGAGTGGGAAAAGCCCAGAGAAGGAGAAGGAGCGGCCCTGAAGCGGTGTCAGAGCCGAGCCCCACGGAGCAGAGCGGGATACTCACGATTTCCCACATGGACTGGGCTGGCATGCAGGAGTCGCAGTGCACCAGGGACTCTGTGGACTGGGGGAAGGTGTTGGGGACGCTGTAGCTGAAACACTGTCCCAGACAGGCCCTGCAAGGACAGCACGAGGGGTGGGGGATCAGGGGAGGCAGAGATCTGACCTTCCCCTGAGACAGAGGCTGTGCCTGGCTTCTTGTGCCAGGACAGTGCCCAGAGCCACCCCAGTGCCACCAGGGCCTCTGGGCCTGGGCTGAGGGTGGGTCTGTACCTGTTCTGGATGGATTTGGACTCGCAGCCGCTGTGCCCCACGATCTGGGTGATGTTCT